AGGATTTAGGATTTAGGATTTAGGAACTTAGGAAGTAGGTTATAAGTCCAGTTCTACATAGGATAAAGCAACTTAGGGGACTGGTAACTTGACTTATAAGCTACTTACTCAATTCAGCCTTTGAGTAGTACATAGACACCTTGGGACCTAAAACCCTCGGTTTTGGGCTTCTTATATGGAGTCATATAGGGATTTTGCGTTTCCTATATAGAATGATATAGGGACTAGTTTAACCCATACCCCTTAGTTGAGAAATATACCTTAACTCATATGAATGATATAGGCACTAGTTTAACCCTCACCCCTTAGTTGAGGAATATACCTCAACTCATAATAAGGAATCCCTATATGGTTTAAGGTATATTTCTTCATTAAGGGGTATTGGGTTTCCTGGGTTCTGCGTCCCCCAGTCGGTTTCTTGTTGGACCTGGCAGGACAACGGGATCGAAGGTCGTGACTATCCGGCGGGTGCAGATGCCAGGCAAATTCACGACAACCTGAGACAGGAGGGAGTTTCTGAAAATAGTCCTTGTTAGGGCTTGCATTCAAGGAATCCTACAGTATTGAGGGTCTATTTTAGGGGCCTCCTGTTTTTGGAAACCCCCAGGAAATGCTGCAGCGAGTCTTCGGTGGATGCCCAACACCAGAGCATGCCACCCAGCTGAAATTTTGCTCAGGAACAATGACGCCTCATCGAAACTCTAAATTCCACTGTTCTTGGGCAGTTTTTTGTTGGCCTTTGTTTTTAGGGTATGAGTTCCTATGAAAGACTCCCGCGAAACCTTTCTTTTTTTTGCTTCTCCCAAAGAGGAGTGGAGTAAGGTATTAGGACATTCAGAGACAACAGTTGAATCGGGAGCACGGCGGTAACTTTGAGCTCCGGAGAAACTACAGGATCCTTAAGGGAAGCGGCCCCAGGCGGGTAGATAACCTAAGACTCCCCAATATTGTTTTTTAAAGGTTCCCGAAGGTTCCCATGGTTTCCCAAGATTCCCTAGCATCTTCCACCCTAAAGGATCCTTTAGTAACCTGAGCCCAAGTCTCGGCATTCTGGTTTTGGTGCGGCGTGTTGCTGGCGAGACATGTCTCGCTGCATCACTGCCTCTTAGGAGCCCAATAGGTAAACT